CTTTATTTTTAAGTGAATAAACCTCCATTCTAGATTTTACGCCGTTAGTTGATGGCTTAAAATCTTACAGTGTGTACACCGACGCAGATAGTGGCGTAAAATCGTACAGTCTACAGACTGTGTTAGTCGCATATTACGCCGTTATCTAACTACCGGAAATAATGCAACATATTCCCTGTGTTTTCGGCCGGTGCATCAAATTTCATTTGTCACGCAATAAGCATGCTAACTGTATTTGCGTTGTGGAAACTAATTCAGGATACCTTTAGCTGGGGAATCTGAGGTCTGCAGAAATAATCTATTTCAAAAACATGGACTACACATACATAAGTGCATTTCTCTATATGTCTCTATATCTCTTTGTATAGGAATAATTTCTCAGCAGGGTTAGAAAGTGGTTTACTACGGTAATCCATGTATCAGAGTGTCTGAGAAGGAAAATGTTGTATTATTTCTCGGATTTCTTTGACAATTTTTACAAACAGAATTCCAACCTAGAATTGATTTGAAAATGTATCTTAACAGGTGGACTACACAAATATGCTATTTTAATTACCGTGACAGTGGTAGAAATCTATTGAAAGCAACCGAGAAAAAACACCGAATGTATATACAAGCGGTTCATGCACTAGGGAGTATTTTCTTGCGACAACTACATGTTTCGAATATTTTATGTGTGCTAAGATTTTATTTAGCTCACGCTCACGTATTTACAACAACATTTATAGTTATATGTAATTTACTCTGAGTTATGCCAGTGGGATAGATTGTAAATTAAAGAACAATATAAGCGACAGGCCAATTTCAGCTAAAAACACGTCGAAAGAGCTGGTATCTTTGTAAACAACGATTTGTTTATTTAGCATTCGAGAAAAATAAACTCAGAAACTTTACCTAAAACGGAGGTTTATTCACTTAAAAATAAAGGTAAGGTAATTTTAAAGTGAAAATTTGATGTATTTAAATGAATCAAAACAGAAGTAGAGACCGAACACGTCGAGTTTTGTCCCAATAGCGCGTGATTTGCGGCAGGAGTACAGCAAGAAAATGGCAGAACTAACAGAATGTACGCTATTTATTTTGGTCTGGTGCGCTCGCTTTAGTTCGTTATATTAGTATTAGTTCCTGTGATAGGCTTTTATCTAAATTAACACCAAGATCACAAACTCTCTTAGTTAGTTCAATGAGGTGTCTCGGTGAACCGGGATCTAAACAGTATAACCTTAGTCTTTTCAGCATTACTTCTTAGCGTGTTTTGTGTGTTCCATGGTATTACATCCTCCATACAATTTCGGAGGGCAGTCAGAGGGACGATATATAGGGCGAAAAGTAATGGTACAAGAACATACCCCTGTGGGACACCATAACGCAGAGCATAAGGAGTGGAAACTTGATCTCCAATAACTATTAATTGCCGACGGTTTTCAAGGTAAGATCTGAACCAGCACAGTGCCAGTTTTGAGAAACCAAAGTAAGACTCGAGTCTTTCCACCAAGATCGTATAACCAGTAGTGTCTAAGGCCGCTGATAAATCGAGTAGTACTAAGACAGCATCTTGGCGACGGTCAATCGTTTTAAGAATATCGTTTGTCACATGTAGCAAGGTCGTTTCCGTAGAATGGTGTTTCCTATTTGCAGACTGCATAGTTGGCATCAAATTGTAAGCTTCTAGGTAGTTGTACGTTTGTGTTGCGACAAACTTTTCGATTACTTTTCTAAGGAACGGAATATCAGCAACAGGTCCGTAGTTTTTAAGAATCTCCTTGTTGAGGTTATCCTTTTTCAGACGGGGGCGTACGTGTGATAACCTCAAGACTGAAGGAAACTCTCCCGTTGTCAGTGACTGATTTACAATGTTAGGTATCATGGGAGATAATAGATGTACGTAATTCTTTATCACAAAGGTGGAAAGTGGGTTAAGAGAACATGTTTTTGTGGGAAGAGACTGAATAATGTTCTTGACGCTAGAACAGGACACAGGCGTCATCATAAATTTGTGACCATTTATAGGCCGACTGCGTCCTGGATTTCGTCTCTAATGGATTGGATCTTCCTGATAAAGAAGTCGTTGAAATCTTCGATCGGTACGTCCAAAGATGTATAGTGTTACGGGAAAATTTGCTGATATTTCCGTGTGGTTGTTATTCGGAACATATTTATTCGTAAAATTTTACATTTAACCATTTCCAGTCCTTTCGTTTTAGTAAATCAAATGTACAAAAACCTCAGTAGCTTTTGGAATAGGTTTTTGTTGGGACTCACTTTCATCATATGCACCTGCTTGTCGGCATTTTTGTTATTTATTACATGGGTTTTTAGATAAATTTAAGTGTCAATGGTCTTTCTGGAAAAATTGGTTTTCATGGTAGGTAGCAGCTGAGTTTATATTCGCAATTTTAATTTATTTTCATGCGATGGTTTTCAAACCAACCTTGCATAGATAGGCAGAAACTTTTAATTGCTTTTCCGTTTTGATTTCCTAAGCTGCGTTACTCCAATTAAGATAGGTATTGTTTTCAATATCAGAGCTGAAAATTCACACCTAAGTTTCCTAATTTTAATGACCTTGAGTTTATCGTATCTGTCTTTTTAATTTAGGAATTCTTTCCATCGTAGAAACAGATGGAATATCTAAGTAGTTTTCGTTTAAATTCAAAGAGACCTTTTCCGCTCCTTTATGTCATTATTCAAATATTGCGATTTGTGTAACAATAGCACCTCACACCAGTTAGTTCTTAAGCAAGTACCTTGTACAGCTTTGATGATTACAAACTAGAGTACGCTAGAGGTCATGTCGCTTGTTGGCCTGACCTAGAATAAAAGTACTGTGGAACCAAAGATTGTCTTATCTTTGACGTCCGTATAAGCTCGCTCGAAGTAGATCTCCGTGTACCAGGAAATCGTGACGAGTTTCCGTTCTCGCAAGCCGAGTGGTCTCTACCGAGTTATTTCCCCCAGTTGTTATTGTGCCTTCCGCGAAGATTCAGTTTCCCAGTTTCGGCGCGAAAACCTATCGTCACAATAGGAAGGAAGGGCTGAGCTGCCAAGTTGAAATAGTTTGTTGACCATTCGAAGAAGCTTGTTTTTCCCAGCTCGTTCGATCTTAGATTTGTATTAGGACGATTTATGAAACTCAAGTTGCTTTTGGTATTTGTTACATGCCTCTGCAAATATTTCTTTGTGAACTTCCAGACCAGTTTTTCTTAACATGCGCTCTACTCTCCGTTTTAAGCGTTTAGCTAAACGGAGATCATCGTTATACCACGGTGCATGTGGTCGATGAGTTATCCATCGTGATTTCATGGGGGCAAGGTCGCTGTGGATCTTTTCCAGGGCTATGTTATATTTACTGACCAATGTTGTCAGGTCAACTGTGACTAGGGAGTTCGGATCTCTCACGTAAGGTAGTTTCGGTATAACGTCATCCAGAACATCAGCGGTCAAAGACTTAGTTGATCGGTATGTGGCATAAGTTCTATTGGTAGGCGGCTATGGACAAATCTAGCTTGCAGGCTACAACTTTGTGATCGGAGAAAAGATCAGGCAGTATTATTGCATCATGGACCATGTTTTCGTCACCTCTTGAAATTATCAAGTCAAGTGTGTGTCCTTTAGGGTGGGTTGAGCCAGTGACGTGTTGAGTCATATTTGCTGCTCAAGGAAGTAAAAAAATTACGAGCATCTGCGTTGTCATTTTTGTCGAAGTGGAAGTTGAAATCGCCAGTAATAAGTAGTGGACTATGACAACTTTTTAGATCCTCAGTAAGTCCAGCAAACTCATTGAAAAATTTAGCGGTGGTGAGTTAGTTCTTCGTCGAAGGCGGCGGCCTGTAGGTAACAACCAATCGAAAGTTGAAATTCTTATATGTCAGCGTAATATCTGTATGTTCAAATGATGTGAAGGAAGGAGTCAAGTTCTTTGTTATAAGCAGCTTTGTATGATGCTAAGTCTAATCTAATATATCCTTGCATGACTGTCCGTCCCCAGTGAATCCTTCCTTACAGGAGCAGTTGTGGGAGCCGTCAGTGTTGGTACAAATCGCAGTCACGTCACAAGCATGGCTTCTATTGAGGCATTCCTCAGTATCTAATAGTACAATGTATATAAATAATGATAATAATAATAATAATAGTAATATTTATACAGGATAACCCCCTCAATGTGATAAGCACTGGTATCAAAGGAGGTCCTGTTATTAGAGTACATAAGTAAAACTATAAAAGGTCTAGGAGGTAAAAATTCACTGGGAATTGTCACACGGCCAAAAATACATAAAAAGAAGCATACATCTACATATAAAACTTATCATCTAATTGAGGAAAAAGTCTTCGGTCCCCTTTGAGAGGATTCCTTTAATTTAATATGGCAAGGAAGATCGTTAAATTCCATCGCACCACTTAAATGAAAAGATATCTTGGCAACCTCTAGGTTGACTTTCGGAATACAAATATCATCAGAGAGTCTAGAAACTGTGTGTACAGAGGCATTCAAGTGATAATTATTATTTAGATAAGGTGTTACTGAACTATCTAGGCATTTTTCGGGTAACAAGACAATATGAAGTTTACGCCTATTAATCAAGGGCACTAGACCCAAAGTAGCATTCAGTTCTTTAGTATCGAGATTAGAATTTGGAGATATCATCTTCGCAGCTTTAAGCTGTAGTCTCTCGAGGGCATCAGAATAAGCTTTTCCACATCCGTGCCAGGCAACATCATTAAAGTCAAAAATAGGTAAAATCGTCGTTTTGAAGAGACATTCAGCTGCAGCCATGGAATAGAAATTCTCAGCCGCCTAAAAACACCCTATTTCCCCAAGAATAAAGGGGTAAGTTTCTAAAGAAACTGTGTTGCTGCGTCGGTGGAGAGTATAGTAGGTAATTTAGTGTTAACAACTGAGTTAAAAACGTAAATTGGCCACCGTAAAGAGTAAAAAAGCTGATGTATCGAGCGTTAGCCCTTCGTCGGAGCGATTGACAAGAGGGCATACTATTTATGTACTATTTAAAGAGCAGGGGCCCAAAAGGTGACCCTTGAGGGACGCCAGAAGTTATATCCAGGGGTGTGGAGAGAACTTTGTCGACCTCTAGACGTTGGGATCGGCCTTGCAAATAACTGGAACACCAAAGAAGAGTCGTATCACAAACGCCGTATCTCTGTAGCTTGTTTAGAAGAATATAATCGACTATTGTATCGAATACCTTCTTCAGGTCAATGAAGACCGCCCCAGTGGGAAGACCATCATCCATATTTCTACAGATTTCATCCACAAAAAAAGGTGAAAGCTGTTTCAGTGGAGAAATTCCTGCAGAAGCCAGATTGACAGGACGATAAAAGATTGTTAGCGTTTAAACAATTGACGATTGACGACTTTCTCAGCGATTTTGAAAATCACTGGTGGGATAAAAATTGGGTGATAGTAGAATATAGAATACTAGAATACCAGATGGAATACTTTATGGTAAGTCTGGCTGTATCTTATTTACGCACGAGCTCGTAGTATTGAAAATCCAGCGAGTGAACGCAAATCAAGGCCATTGCAGCGAAAGGACTAGCGAGTGTTAAACTTCAGAAGCTTTTATGATTGGCAAGGGCTGCTTCCCCATCTAAAGGACATGAGAGGCTTTTCCCGAAAAAGAAAATTTTCTCCAGGGAGGTGAAAAATAATTGCAGAGGCTTTATGTAAAGTAAGAGACCTCAATTAGCAAGCGGAGGAGAGGAAACGTTTTGCTTCGAGAGGTATTTCCTTTATAACGACATTCAAAAACGATTGAATCAATACAGATATTCCTTTAATGTTTTTTTTTCTTTGCCTGACTAGAATTCGGTAATGAATCATGAACGTGTCATCACTTTGATTAAATCTCGGGCTCCCCTAAATTTATGAGCGTCATCTAGGCTCAAGGGCTCATGATAAAATAAAAACTTAATCTTGGGTAAAGATCATTAACTAACCGAAGAGCATCTGGAAACAGTTTCCCAAGGAATAACATTTTTAATCATAGTATGCTTTCCAACCGTATTACACGTGCTTTTCACATGTGTATTAAATTAAAGAGTGAAATAACAGTAAAAATCTTGCCAAGGCAGTTAGTAATAATAAACTAGGTTTGAAGTTTATTTCATTATTATTCTTTTTGTTTATTTGTTTGTTTGTTTTTTTCTGAGGTTTTTATTTACAAATGTCAAAAAAATCTGAATATTATGTTTGTAACGAAGGAGAATGGCGAAGTGTCCGTATTTGAGAGGTGCCCGTTTTATTATAAATGTCATCACACTGACGCCACTTTAAAATCTCCACTGGCAGTGTTTAACTACATCCAAGATATTGATTAGTGGTTTCAAGAGAAAGTCTTACAAAACAAGGAAGCGAACTTCGAAGCGAAAGTGTGACACTGCAGCAACGGAAGAAATATTGTAGTTCCAATCAGGAACTTTTTTGAGTAGTTTACCGAAGTGCAGCCTACCGTAGCTAAAATCGAGTAACAAATAATCTTCACATCATATCTACCATTCTTCGCAAGACCACGCCCTAGCCTCTGTCGAGGCCGACATCTCAGATGTCCGCGCATGGTTGATTTATAACCGCCTGTTAAACAACAATTCGAAGACTGAGTTCTTAGTTGTTGGTTCCCGCCATCCATTATCAAAAGTCGCAATGGATCAATCATTCTACCATCCAGCCTCTCGACAGTGTTCGAAACTTGGTTTCCTGGTTTGACTCCAATATGTCTATGTCCATTCACACTGGTAAGATCTGCAGCAAGACTTTTCATGGCTTGTATAATATTTGCCAAATTAGGAAATTCCTCAGTCCTGAGCCAACGAAGACCCTTGTTCACGCATTTGTGACTTCACATTTGGACTACTGTAACTCTCCTCTCTTTGGCGTCCCCAAGTACCAAACAGGTCGTCCTCAGAAAGTGCATAACGCCGGTGCTCGATTAATCTTTAGGATTCCAAAGTTTCACATTTCGTCCGCCTTATCTCATCTTCACTGGCTTCTTGTGACTTATCGCGTTCATTTTAAGTTGTTACTCTTAGTTCATATATCTCCTAACAATCAAGGCCCACAATACGTTCAAGAATATCTGCAGCCACGCGCCATTTCTGGTCATCACCAACGTTCCTGTGACCAGGGCCTTCTTAAAATCCTAAGAACTAATTTTTAGACCTATGGTGATCGCGCCTTTGCTCGTTCCAGGCAACTTCTGTGGCCGCTTAAAATTCGAAACAGTCAGTGTAGCCATTTTTGAGTCCAAGCTTAAGGCACAATTGTTCAAGGTGGCTTACAAGTTGTTTTAATATTGTTAATAGTTATAACATTTTAATATTTTTAATATTAATCATATTTTATTGTTTAATCGTTTCAATATGTTTATAGAATATTTTGTAAAGCGCTTTAGAATATTTTTATAATTTTAGCGCTTTAGAAATTTAAATTATTATTATTATTATTATTATTATTATATTATTATCATCTGAATTATAATAGGTGAAAGGGTCTTTCCCAATTTTTGGCAAGTCCGGCTCTGATTGACAGATACAGATGATACATTTTACTCGGTGGACAACAGGATTATCTCAGCCGTCATTTTTGCATTGGTTACTCCCACTCGAGAGGTGTGCAGTTAATTGTATCAGCCCTCTAGACTATTAATGGAATGCTTTCTATAGTAAGGCTAAGCTTCAGTAAATAAAAGGTATCCGTAACTGTTAGAAAAAAAAATCTGGGTAGATGTTGTTTCGTGGGTCTTCGATTGACAGATACGAATAATGAGTTTGACTCAGTGGACAACAGGATTATTGCACTAGTCATATTTGTTTTACTCTGCTTCTCATAGTCGGGAATTGCACAGCCAATTGAATGAGCCATTGGTGAAATGTTTTCCAGAGTAAGGCTTAACTTCGGTAAATGAAGCGTTTGAAGCGTTTTCGTAACAGGAAATCTTATTGCATACAGAAAATAACATCTGCTACTACCGACTTAAAAGTTATTAGAAAAATCCTATGTAGATGTTGTTTTCTTGAATCGTCAGTTAACGAGTGTTGTTTTGGTTCATTAACTTCTATATCTTTGGCGACTTGCCATTATCAATTGATAAAGGACAATAGATGTAATGAAGAACATAGTTTTATTGAGTGCTTAACTTTAACTGCCGCCTGTTTAAAAGTTTGTTTAGCTGTTGCACTTCAGGGTTGTTTTTGTGATTCATCTATCATATGAGAGCGAGACTCATTTTGGATGATTCTTAAGTTAGACTTGTTAATTAAAGACATTACTTGGTCCTTTAAGTTGAGGTTTAAGGCTTAAATGTCAGTTGATTACATTTGAGGGTGTGTGCCCGTTACACTCGAGATGATATTTTGTTTACATTCTGGTACATTTGATGAGTCTCCGTCCAAAACATTCTAATTGGTTAGGTCTCTGGCCCGGTTGTTTCTCTGGATCGTTTTTGCGTTAACAGTATTGAAATTAGCACCACATAAGCAACACTTATTTAACGCAGATTGTATCGCTAATTCTTTGCACCCCAACATCAGTATGCATATTTCCCATACCATTCTCTATACATTACCTATGGTGCTGATAGGGAGAATTTGTTTAACAATCACTAAGACGGGGTATTATCTGCCGTAAGTCTTCGAAGGGGTTTTCAGGCTATGAACTTCGATCTTTTTTTCGTCTTTTGCGCCCCAATAGCTGACAGGATTCGCAGCAGCTCGCTAGTAAACGCCGCCAGGTATAAACCGTGTGGAAACTATTTTCGATCGTAGGTAAAGCTAAGAATTAAAATATTTTTTATTTACCTTATGATAACGCTCATGGCACTAAGATGTTTTCGGAAATTGCTTTTGAACTGACCACTGTTGCATTATAGCAGTGGTGGGATGTTACTCCAACAAGTAACGGAGAATGGGAAACGAAGATCGAGGAACGAGGAACAGGGAACGGTAAACTTGGAGCGAGGAACGGAGAACGGTGAACGGAGAATGAAAATGAAGAATGGAGAACGAAGAACTGAGAACAAGGAATGGGAAACGGGGAACGGGAGTCTGGGACCGAGATTACAGTTTAATCTGCTGATGACTGTGGGTTCAAAAGGATCTGAACACCAGATTTAAGCAAACTTTCGAACCTGAACGTTGCAGCAATCAACATGAGTGAAAAATGAAGTTATTTTCAATGGTTTTTACTTGAACTTTTACCTTCAAGTTCATAGCAGTTATAGTATGATCGTGGGCTACTATTTGAGAGTAAAAAATTCAAGGATGCGAATAGTTACAGATATTTCGAAGAACGGATTCGTTTATTTGCGGAAAACGGATACCTCAACCACTGTAAAACTGAGTAGTTTAGAAGAACTGCAATGAGTGGCATCGCAAAGTCGAGCTTAGTACTATTGTTTAGATGATATGATCATTAGAAACAAGCTACAATGAAGTTGCGAAGAAATAAAACGGAAGAGAGGGCCAGTAAATTATTATTGCGCGAGTTATTTTACTTTAAATTTAGAGGTAACCTGGCTCTCCATCATGGGCAGTTTAATAATTCTATCTCTGTTGATTGGTGGCCGAAATTTAGATAAATTAAACAGTTTATACGACTAAGATATTTTTAGCATAAACTCTAATCTGAATGCTTATTTGAATACTGAGTTTAACCTCCTTAGTGCATTAGGGATTTGGCTCTCCTCATATCTCAAAACTCGCAAACAAACATCGCAAGTAGGCCATCATATATCAGATAAAGCTGTCGTTGGATGTGGTGTTCCTCAAGGATCAATTCTTGGACCGCTTTTTTCGAACTTTTTAAACAAACTTCATACTATCTTAAGGAAAATAGTGGTATTTCATCGAATTTAAAAGTCGTTTATCTTTGGTGGCAAAACTGAAAGAAATGAAGTGTCCAAGCGAAAGCACTGAAAGTTTAACAACGCGACTAAAGGTATTTATTTCTTCTTCTGTAGATATGACAATCGACCCTGGCACTTCTTCTGTTGTCGCTTCTTCGTCTTGTTTGGTTGAACTTTTTCTTGCCATTGTCTGGGCAGTGTACACATGATTTTCTCGCTTTCTCGTTGTCGCGAGTGTTTTTTGAAACCATATTGTCCTTAAAAGAGACCAGTTCGTCATCTGTATGAATTTTTTCGACATTGACACCTGTTTGGTTTTCTTTCGCAATGCTTGTTTGGTTTTCCTTGGCAAGAACTGTCGTTTGGCTTTCTTCCCTCGTCTCTGCATTTTATTTTTTTCTTCAATGCGTTTTCTCGTACTTTTGAGTGTGAGGGGTCTCCTCAAATTTTCTAAAAATTTTAATTTAAATATAAAAGTTGGCAGACATTCATTTTCTGTAAATTTGTTCATCTCCAAGGTGATATTTTTTCGTAGCACGAGTTGCACTTTTGTTTTCACGATAGCAACAATTTTTGCTCACGACTCACGTCAGCAATGTCCCTTGATGTACAGGTGCAGTTCCACACTAAATACCCTCTCTTCGATAGCCAATCAGACCGCGAGTTTACCTTTAGCTATGCGATTCTATTGAATATCTATAAGTCACCAATTCATCCTTATTTAACCTATGTTCTTGCTGTTTGGGGTCAGGCATGCAAGGCTTATCTTAACAAAATTCTAATTCTTTAGGAAAGAGCTCTTCGTTTGTTGTACTTCGCAGACTGGCATGACCATGCAATTCCTTTATTTCTCGAAGCTAACGCGCTTCCAATAACATTTCTTTATTATGAGTCCGTATCATCCTTAATGCACGAAATTAATAATGATAAAGCCCCGGCAAACATGTTAAATTTATTTCAGAAAACTTATAATATTCACTAATACAATACACGATCGTCTACGTCTGGAAAGTTCTATGTTAAAAGTTTGAGACTAGAAATACAAAACAATTCTCTCTGCTGTGGAATAAGATACCAAGCTACATGACGGATTTTCAAAAGAGTTTTCCGCCAATTGCTAGTTGATATCTTAGAAAATAGGATCACTATATTCAAATCCCCGTGATTATTAAAAAAAGTAGGCACATAGCTACACTTGCTATGGGGTTTAAATGTCTGCTTTTCTTTTTCTGTGTTATCATTTAAGAGTCGGTGACTCCTTGTCTTTAGCCATAAGATAATTTGTGTTATTCATGTACTTGTCTTTCCCGGCCACAATTAGCTTTCTAGCTATTTGCGGGGCAAACTATCTCACTTTTCTTTTTTTGTACAAAGAACGAAGAATAAAGAACAAAGTGATTGCATAGCAAACTGTCTACGGATGGCAGGCCACCTTTGGTACATGACTTTAATCAAGGAATATCTTTTTATGAAGCCGAAACATTTTTGAACTCCACAAATACAGAAGGTGGTGTCAATAAAAAATGGAATATCCTGATAAGCTTTGTATCACGTTTTTTCAAGGTAGTATATGGTCGCAGGCTTCAATCAATATTTTTTTTAAGAATACGTAAGTACCTTGCAATAACCAAAGCCATTATGGACTTTCTGTTCAGCTATTATCTCTAAAGCATTGATTTAAGGCATTCGAAATGAATATTCTACATACCAGTCTGTCTTCGACCTTTTTTTTTTTTTTTTTATTTGTAATACTTAATTTGTTGGCAAGAAGTCCGAGTTATTTAGTCAGTCTATTCCGAGGCACAGGAAACGCAAATTACACGCGTATGACTCACCAACTTTGTAGATATCCAAAGATCCAATTTGTCTACGAACTAACTGTCCTTTTTTTTTTTAGGCAAGTGCACGTTGTTTATCCC